CACACAGCCAACAGTGGTTTTTTTTTGTCTTTTTTTTTTTAAATGTGCCACGCCCCCACCCGGCTTTCACGCTAGCCCCTGACTTGTGCGCTCATTAGTTTAAGGTGGGTGGGGTGGGCGGCTTTCGCTGCCGACCCCCGTGCACCCCGTTCTGCCCCGCCCTTCTGCCCGGGAGGCTCTGAAGCTGGCCAGGGCATGCCTGAGGTGCCGCTTATTACTTTGGCTGCTTTTGGTTTCACTTCTGTTGCATTTCTGCCTTCTTCCTCAAACCCTTCCCATGATTCCCATGTATCCCCAGTAAAAACATTAGCCCCAAGTAGCCAGGGAGCCAAATGAATCGCCTCTGCCCAAACCTTTTGAGCTACAGGATCTGACAAATCCAATCCCCTGCTTTTAAGCATATTTCTCAGTGCTTTAAGTGCTGGGTCCTCAGACTTAAAAGTTGCATTTCCCATCTTTTGGGTCTTGCTTACCCCGAACTTCCGATTGGCCCCAATCCGTTTTTCTTCTTTCCTTTGAGCGCCACGCTGGGCGCCAGTTCCTGGGGGTTTGAACCAGCGACCCCCAGGCAGTGATGATTGGGCATGAGTAAGCACACCGTTCACCAGCCCACACCAGCCCCAATACCGGGAACACTCAGGCGCAACAGGGAGCCTAGTCAAGCAGGGACTCATTTATTGTAGGTGTTACAGAGCTTATAAAGGCACCTGGAACTGCCCCCTGCCCCCCTGAAGGTGTGTCTTAAGGATGGTCACATGCTGATCATGCACTCCTCAGCAGTGCGGAAGTATTCTTCAGGCTTTTCAAAGCAAGCCAGGCCATGCTGCCAGTAACTTCCTCTCGGCCCTATGCAAGGTGGGGCCTTTAGGTCCCCACACCACAGAGGCACAAGTCAGGCTCTAGTCAGGTACATTCAGGTTTCCTTCTAACGTCTGGACCTCTACTAGCAGACACTCACAGTACAATTTGGGAAGTTTGCTAAGGGGAGGCCTGATTTTGGCCCTCTCAGGGAGTCTGCTAAGGTGTCATCTCCTACTGTAGGGAGAGAGGTCTAGCCCTGGCTAAGTGGAATGGGCCTTACGGGGTCCCTATTAGAGGATTGGGTATGGCCTGATTGGGGAAGCTCACCACCACAGAGGCTGGATTTCAGGCACTCTCAGGCAGTCTGCTGAGGTCTGGGCCCCTACCCTACTGTAGGGCAGAGAGGTCTAGCCCTGGTAAAGTGGGAGGGGCTTCACATGGCCCCAGTACAGGAGGTTGGGCATCTTGAATTTAGGAAACTCACCACCATTTGGAGGCTGGATCCAGGCACTCTTATAGGGTCTGCTAAGGTCACAGCCCCTACTGCAGGGCAGTGAAGTCTCCCCCTGGCCAAGCGGGAGGGGCCTCACATGGTCCCAATTAGGGGGTAGACTAGAGATTTTATAGTCTTGAATTAATGGGGCTTTTTGCTACTCTAAACAGCACAGTCATTGCTCACCCGTGGAGGCAAAACAGTTATACACAACATAACCACCAGCACCAACAAAAGTATCCCTTTGTGTGTGTGAGGGGGGAGTGTGGTTGTTCCTGTGGAGGTTAAAGGGCAACACTGTGGGGTTGGTATTGTCCTTCCTTCTTTTCCTTTTTTACATGTATTCTGAGGATTGAACTTAAATCATCAGGTTTGGGCCATAAGTACTTTACCCAGAGTCCTCTTCCTGTTCCTCCTCCCCCCACGCCCCCTCCCTCCCAGGAGGTTTCGAGCAAAGACTAGATCTTAAAGTTTTCCAACCTTCCAAATACAAAATCAGGCTGGAGTGGGGGCGATGAGAGTGGAGGATAAAAGGTCAGGGTGTGGGGTCCACGGGAGACACAGATGGATTGTTGGGGGGGTAATCCATGCCCAGGACGGACAACCAGAAAACAGCACCACAGTGTGTCTAAGGAGAGTACAGGCCCAGTGCCAGAGAAAAGATTGCACAGCAGAAATTTTGAAGAGTTATCAAGAGTCCCAAGTGGCAGAGTCAGGTCCCTTCTTATAGGTCTCTGAGGAAAGTCTCAGTTTGTCTGCAGCCAGTCTCTGATTCCTAGGCAGAGTCAGAAAAGAGGATGAGGAGCAGTATGTTTGTCACGAGCACCCCTCTGATGTAAACTCACCTCATCCGGTGAGGAATGAGGGCACCTGGAAGTCTGTTAGCTGGAGATTCACGGACAGTTCTCTAGAAAAGAGTGCCTCTGCAGGTATCTTTGAAAGTGGGGGGCTGCTGTAGGGATCTGGCTTGAGATGCCCCCTGGTCTGGATTCAAACATTCCCAGCCCTTTCCTTTACGTTGGGAAGCAGAGGAATGGTTTTATAGGAGAAGGAAATAGAGAATTCTTGCGGCGTAAGGGATATGGATTTCAGTCTAGCTTATGAACTGAGATTGAAGTGGAAGGATTGGGATGTAGCTCCACATCTACAGTGGTCAGGCTTTACACTCTGGGCCAGAGGCTGGAATCTGTTCAAGCATCCGGGGGATATTATCCACATGAGTCCAGGTAGCATGCTGGAGGGCATTCAGGATGAATTGTATATAGATTAAAGGATGTCTGCTTATGGATATAGGTCACAGCAGTTATTAAAGAAATACCAATGAAGGGTTTAAATTATTTTGAGTTGGAGTTATGTGGTTACTGAATAAAGAGTCCCAGAAAAGGGGGTCATGGAGGGCCAGGAGATGAAAGACGATTCCTGAAGCTGCTGGCAAATTCAACATGCTTTATTTTCACTGATGAAGAGAATACAATTGTTGAAGCTTTAACACAGAGAGACCCTTCTTGAAGCCTTAGCTTATAGCTTGGTGTAGCCCATGTCCAGCATAGCTAGGAGCTTATCCTAAAATCTGGTGAACCTAAGATAACAGGAAAGCAGATCTTCAGGAGAGGGAAATAGTTACCAAAAACACTGTGAAAGATATTCTTGGGTTACATTATCTATCAGTCATTATTATCTGTAATCCAGGTTAATTTTAAAATTTTTTTCTGTTATAACATTGTAGCAGATGGAACAGAATTATAGCTTATATTGAAATAATTAAAAACAGTGTGTTGCAAAGATAACAGATAAAGGAGACAGGTAAGTTAAACAAGAAGAGTTAAATCTTTAGGTACCCCCAATTTTATAAGTGAAGTTAAAAGTAGAAGAGTAGTCATCTAATAGGTTGGACTGACTTAGTACATATATACATATATAGGTTTTTTTTTGTTTTTTTTGTTTTTGGTCTTTTTTGAGACAGGGTCTCCCTATAGCCCCAGCTGTCCTGGACCTCACTATGTAGACCAGGCTGGCCTTGAACTCACAGAGATCCACCTGCCTCTGCCTCCTGAGTGCTGGGATCAAAGGTGTGCACCACCACGCCTGGCATGTATATAGTTTTTCTAAAAATAATTTTTTTGTTTTTAATTATGTGTATGTGTACATGGAGGCCAGAGGACTCAGTTTCTCTGGAGCTGGAGTTTGATGGTAGAGAGCTGCAGGATGTGGGAGGTGGGAACTGAACTTGGGCCCTCTGCAAGATCAATGTGTGCTCCTAACCACTGAGCTGTTTTTCCAGCCCTGACATACATATTTTTATTAATAGGCAAAAGGTTTATGTCTCTAAAAGTTTGGATTTAAAATGTAGATGTCTCTAAAATGGAGGGGGTTTTTTGTTGTTGTTAAGATTAGATCCTAAAACATTAGATCTTGAATCTAGAATGACAAAATGCTTTCCAAGAATAGTATAAACATTTGAAAACTTGGTCCAAAGGAGATAGGGGCCCTGGGTAAGTAAACAGTTATATCAAAATTACACCTTGTCTGAAGTTCTACAGTATGAGAGCTGACAACTGAGGCCAGGCGGCAGTTAGGAATTCCTGACTATAGTGTATGTGGAAGGACGTGGCTGTCCCTTTTGGATCATCCCTTGGATGTCCCTTTGTTCATTACTTTTTACTCACAGCCTTGTTTTCCCATAGGTTCCTATTAGCGCCAAGACACTTACAGACCATGAAGGCTTAGTGGAAGGTTGCCCAGGTCAATTCCCACTAAAGCCATCACTGGGATTGTATCCTGGGTCGCCACCTGCTACCTTCCCTATCCTCCTCTCTGAATTTTCTGGAATATGACTGCAGAATTCACATTCCTTAGCCCACAGCCAGATTCTATAGAGACCTATTAATGGCAACCACTGGCAGGACATTCAGAAGGTATTAAAGGTCTAGTGATGAGCCCAGTTTGGTGGCACACATCTTTAAACCCAGCACTTGAGATGAGGCAAGCCTGGTCTCAAGTTTTAGGCCAGGTGGACCCAATCTTAAAAAAAAAATTCCGGCTGGGCATGGTGGTGCACACCTTTAATCCCAGCACTTGGGAGGCAGAGGCAGGTGGATCTTTGTGAGTTCAAGGCCAGCCTAGTGAGTTCCAGGACAGCTGGGGCTACAAGGAGACCCTGTCTCAAAAAGATTAAAAAAAAAAAAAATTCCAGTGATGAATATTAGAAAATGCCTGTGTTGGGAAGTGAAGCTGGATCGGAATGCTCAGAAAACCTCAGGTGTCCGTTATGTCTGGTGGAAAGAGAGGAAGACAGGACTTAGGGCTGGAACACCAGCTGGAGGAGCTGGGTGTTTACAGAGATGGAAAGGGAACGGCAGTACAGAGTGCTGTGGGAAGGGAGCGTGCAGAGATGGCGTCACCGCCCATGGTCCAGGTGCATAAGAGAAGAGGGACCCACATCTGCTTGTGTCAGAGGACTGCATGTGAATTACCTGTAAGGACAGGGAGGGGCTTTCCATGTCAGATGTCCACCTTGAATGATCTCCCATCTGTCCATCGGCCTTCTATTGTTGAGTGCTAAACACACTGGTCGGGGGACCGTGAGGAGACACTGTTGCAGTGGCTCCAGGGCCTTGGACCCTCATAGTAGAAAGCTAAGCATGAGTGACTCTGTGAAACCCAGGGAAGGAGTTTCTTAGGACCTCAGCTCTCCCCATTGTGACAGGGCCCTGTGACCTTTAAGGATGTGGCTGTCTACTTCTCAAAGGAGGAATGGACACTGCTGGATGCCTCTCAGAGACTGCTGTACCGCAGTGTGATGCTGGAGAACTTCTCGCTCATGGCCTCTGTGGGTAAGGGCCACCTATTGTGTCAGAGCATGTGGGGGTAGGCTTGGCTTCTCTTTTCCTAGAGGTGGGTATAATTCTTCTTACATCCAGCCCATGTTCACTGATTATTTCCCTGGCGTCCTGAAATAAAAAATAACCATCTTCCCTCTCAAGTACAGCAAAGACAGGCCGGAAGCAGCTTGAGGTCAGGACAGTTTTAATTTAGTGACCCTTGTAGATCTGACCTTGCTGCCTCTACACAGTCTTGTGACAGCACCTATATGACCCAAGGTGATGGTTTGAATGAAAATGTGCCCCATGGGCTCCAAGTATTTGGATATTTTGTCCCCATTTGGTGGCACTGTTTTGGGAGATGTTAGGTGCGGCTATGCTGGAGGAAGCACATCACTGGCGCCTGGCTCAGAGAGGTCTTAAACCTTGCTGGATCTCAAGTCACTCTCTTGCTTCCTGTGCCGGTGAGAGCTTAGTTTCTGGTCCTCCTCCAGACACCTATGCCCCTATGCTTCCCTGCCCTGACAGACTGTAATTTGCCTAAAGCATAAGCTCAAATCAACTCTTCTGTAAGTTGCTTTGGTCAGTGTTTCTATCACAGCAACAGAACACAACCCAGGCACGGCCCTTTTCCCCCCACTGACATGCATTTCTTCTGCCTGCGGTAGAATGGTGGCACTGATGTGGTCACTATTTCATGGTTTTTCTCGGTCACACTCCTTTGAGGAGCTTTCCATTGGTTTTCTCTTCTAAGGACTGTCATGGTTGGGTCTCTGTTTTTCTAGTGTAGGTTGTTCACCTGTCCTACCTTTCTCATAGGACTTGTACCTTCTGGAACCCAAGAAATCAGTCATCTGGAGCTGTGGGGAGAGCCCTTCATCCAGGCACTGGGAATCATGACTCCAGCTATGTGGACAGGTATGAGGAGGTTGAAGCTGGGTGATGTGTCACCTCTCCAGGAGGTTCATATCAAACATCATTTCCTGGTTCTCATGTTCTGTGCCAAGGGACAGGATTCTTTCAGATTTCCCTCTGTCATAGCTTGCCGAGGTGCCTGGTCGTCATCTGTAGTATTTCTGAACCAGGGCTATGCCACTCCTCATGAGACCTCTGGTCTGTGGTCTTGGTAGATGCAGCACTGCAGTGTGTCCTTCCTGCTCTCACCTGACCCCTTCATCCTGACAAATCTCCCATCCTCGTCTCTAGCATGTGCTTCCACACCAAAGTCTCCATTCCCTTCATCAGCATTTCTCTTACTCAGGTTGTTGGAATGGAGTGGAGGCTGAAAATGCACCTGCTGTGCAGAGTATTTCTACAGATGAAGGACTCGGTGCGGCCATTCCCCAGCAGCAAAAGTCGAGTCGTGGTGAGAAGCCCTTACAAATAGAAGAGGCCAGGATCTCTGTAAAGAAGAATGGCACAAAACGCCAGTTGAAGAATTTACGAAGCAGGAACAATGGGATGGACGTGCATCCCAGCCCAGGTCTTAGGCATGAGCTGACTCGTGGGGTCGGGAAGTCATCCAGGAACTCTAACAGTGGAGAGGCCTGTCCCAGTGGGAACAGCAACTACCAATGCAGTGATGGTGGGAAAACCTTTAGTCAGAATTCTGTACTTACTCAGCACCAGACACTACACCCAGGAGAAAAGCCTTATGAATGTAGTGAATGTTGGAGACGATTTAAACATAAATCTAACCTTCTGGTACACCAAATAATTCATAGTGGAGAAAGACCGTATGTGTGTACCGGATGTGGGAAATCCTTTAGTGGCAATAGTGACCTCATTCAACACCACAGAGTCCTTAATGAAGAAAAGCCTTTTAGGTGCATTAAATGTGGACAGTATCAATGCAGACTCATTCAACATCACAAAATCCAGACTGGAGAAAGGCGTTATAAATGTGAAGAATGTGGGAAATCCTTTCTCCGAAATTCTCATCTCAAGGAACACTTAGTTGTTCACACTGGTGAGAAGCCTTTTAAGTGTAGTGAATGTGGGGAATCATTTAGGTGCAGATCCACCCTTAAAAATCATTTCCTAGTTCACACCAGGGAAAAGTCCTATGGAGAAAAGTCCTATGTGTGCAGTGAATGTGGGAAAGTATATATGGAAAAATCCAGGCTTATAAATCACTTGCGAATTCACACTGGAGAAATGCCTTATGAGTGCAGTGAGTGTGGGAAAGTGTTTAGGCAGAAATACAGCCTTATAAGTCATTTGCGAATTCATACTGGAGAAAGACCTTATAAGTGCAGTGAATGTGGAAAAGCATTTACGGAAAAATCCAGCCTTCGAAACCATCGGCGAATTCATACTGGGGAAAAACCTTATGAGTGCAATGAGTGTGGAAAAGCATTTTCAGAAAAATCCAGCCTTCGAAATCATCGGCGACTTCATACTGGGGAAAAACCTTATGAGTGCAGTGTTTGTGGAAAAGCATTTTCAGAAAAACCCAACCTTAAAATTCATTACCGAGTTCATACTGGGGAACGGCCTTTTGAGTGCAGTGAGTGTGGGAAAGCATTTAGTCAGAAATCCAGCCTTAGAAGTCATTTGCGAATTCATACTGGAGAAAAACCTTATGAGTGCAGTGAATGTGGAAAAGCATTTACCAAAAAATACAGACTTAACTGTCATAGGCAAATTCATACTGGAGAAAAAACTTATGAGTGCAGTGAATGTGGAAAAGCATTTACAGAAAAGTCCAGCCTTAAAAGTCATAACTGTGTTCTTGCTGGGGAAAAGCTTCTTGAGTGCAATGAATATGGGAAAGTGTATAGGAAAAAAATCCAGCCTTAAATGTCACAGGTGAATCCGTACTGGAGAAAAACCTTGTGTATCGGTGCAGTCAATGTGAAAAAGCATTTACAGAAAATTCCAGTAAGCCTTTTGAGTGCAATGAATGTGGGAAATCTTTCAGGAAAAACTGTCACCTTACAAAACACACAGAAAAAGTTCACAGCAGAGGACAGCAATGAGTGTGGGAGTCTTTCCTGAACATTCCAGCCTCATTTAACATCAGAGAGTTCACACTGCAGCAAAGTCTTTTGAGCTCAGGGAATGCGGGAATGGTTTTCCTAGCACTTCTGGCCTTTATAGACACTGGAAGATTCCCAGGTGATGGATGCATTGTGAGTGCAGTGAACACGGACAATACCGTAGTTGTCTAATGTAATTCCCCAGCAGAGTGTCCACTGCACAAAATGCTTCAGTGCTTCAGTTTGGAGATCCTCTGCCCGTTCTTCCATCTCTTTAGCCCCAGAGACATCCCAGTGCTGGAATGAGTCACACAGGCACTGATTGATCATGGGAAAGCCTTTGAGCAAAGGTCTGCTCTCACTAGCAACAGTAACAACCCAGATATGTTTATGAATGCAGGGAATGTAGAAAAGCTTCAGCCACTGACCTGCTTTGTTCAACCTTTGTGAGGGAGCCAGCAACTGAGTATTCTCATGAGACTGGCACATTGGAACAGTGGGAGGATTTTTGCTATAAGTCCCCAGTCGGGCCTTTGCCACGGTGCCACTGGGAGAGTTGAGCCCTGTGTTCTCGATTGCTCCAGACTGGAATGGAGTGTCCATGTTACTGAGTTTGGATGGCGTGGGAACATAATTATGGCCTTGGTCTAAATGACTGCTGATTGTTCTTCTAACTGAATGCTACATTTTTCTAAATAAATGTTCATTAGCGCTATGCTCTTGATGACTATTTCAGAGATTTTTCTGCTGTGCCTAATTTTCCCTAGTTTTTCTGGGGACCAACTCTAGATAGGGCCCGATGCTCTTGCATAGAAGTTACCAGATTTCCTTTTAAACTTTATTTTATTTTTTTGTCTTTTTGAGACAGGGTCTCCCTGTAGCCCCAGCTGTCCTGGAACTCACTGTGTAGACCAGGCTGGCCTCGAACTCATGAATATCCGCCTGCCTCTGCCTCCCAAGTGCTGGGATTAAAGGTGTGAAACACCAGGCCCGGCTCCTTTTAAACTTAAAAAAATAAAATAAAATTGCATTTATTATTTTTAATGTGTATGTGTGTATTGCCTGCATGTAAGTAAGTGCACCTGTGTTGTGCAGTGCCCATGGAGGTCAGAAGAAGCTGTCAGATCCCCCTGGGACTAGAATTAACAGCAGTTGTTAGCTACCATGTGGGTGCTGGGATTCGAACCCGGGTCTTCTGCAAGAACAACCAGTGTTCTTAACCACTTGCTGAGCCATCTCTCCAGCTCTCAAATTTCCTTTTAAGTGGTGGTATATTTTATATTTCCTCCTGGAATATAGCGGACACCTGTTTTTCACTTAGTTATTTTGTAACTCATGAGCCATCCATTTTAGCTTTTCTAGTAGGTATGTGGTGGCACATATTGTGGTTTTAATTTACATTTCTCTATGTATTAGTGTTTTTTGTTTTCTCTTGGTCTTTTTGAGACAGGGTCTCCTTGTAGCATCAGTAGTGTCTCCCTTTTTAAAACCTATTATTTTATGTGTATGATTGTTATGCCTCCATGTATATAAGTGCACCTGTGTACTTAAAAGCAATGCCTGAGGAGTCAGAAGAGGACACTGATTGGATCCCTTGGAACTGGAGTTACAGACTATGGATGGTTGTTAACTGTCATGTTGGTCCTGGGAAGTGAACCCAATCCTCTGGAAGAACAGCCAGCGCTCCCCATCGCTAAGCTACCTCTCCAGCCCTTTCTTTCTTTGTTAAACAGGGTCTGGTTATATAGTCCTGGCTTCCTTGAACCTAATCTTGTAGAGCAGACTGGACTAGAAGTTTGAGATCCACCTTTCTCTGTGTCCTCAGTGTTGATAGTAAAGGCATCCACCCCTGCACTTGGCCTCCGTACCGTTTTGATTTGGTGTTTCATCTCCTGAGAGGTGCTGCCACTCCCTCTTCTGGCCTCTGCAGGCATTGCATGGCACAAGTACACGTACATGCAGGCATGACACACAAAAATAAAGAACTTTTTAAAAGGATACATTAAAAGGTGGTACACTACTTTAATCCCAGAACTCCAGATGCAGACACAGGTGGATCATGGACCTCTGTGAGTTCTAGATTAGCCAGGGCTGCATACTGAGACCCTGTCAAAAGCAAAGAAACAAAAAAAAACCAAGAAAACAATGAAAAACTCATTAAACTGGCTGTAAATAAACTACTGAATTTCAAGATACAGTATATAATTACAGAGGCTGTTCAGACAAAAGGAAAATAATAAAAACATTTGGATTTTCTCAGCTATCAAGATCAAAGAAAAGTATAAAATCAAAAATAGGCTTAGTTTGCTAGAAGAAAAGTTGCATCTTAATTATTAAAGATTTTTTATGTGCATGAGTGTTTTGCTTGCATGTAAGTCTCTACCTGTGTGTGCAATGCCCAAGGAGGACAGAAGAGGGCAATGGCTGCCCTGGACATGGAGCCAGTGCTTATAACTGCTGAGCTGTCTCTCCGGCCCCCATCCATACTTATTAATTGCCTCTGGTTATGTATAAATCTTGACTACTAAAGAAACATGTACGTATTAGGTAAAATTAAAAGTTAATGAACACAGAGCAGTGGCCTGAGGGAGTGACTTTGGGACTTCTGCATTGGCAGGCGGGTGGGTGGAGTGTTATCACCAAGGCCAAGCTGGGCCAAGTTGCAATGTAGTGGGCCACTCTGCCCATGCCACAGTGCTGGGCTCCACCCTGAGCTGATGCCTGCCCCCCCCCCGCCCACAGAGCCAGGCCCCCTGCCGTCCCAGCCAGTCCCAGTCCCCCAGCATGCAGCCCAGGCTGGAGAAGTGACACTTCTGGGCTCCAGCTGCCATCACCACCATTGCCACCATGAATGAATGAACTGGGGGCATTGTACTCGATCCTGAAGGATCCAGTGGCTCTCCACATGAGCCAGCGTCCCCGGGAGTCTGGATATGAGACCAATAAGAACAAGGACGCAGATCATCCAGATAGGCAGAGGGACGTCAGAATCAATTTTCACAACCATGGGGAGAGGCAAATTATAACATCCAGCTGGCCTGTGAGACACGAAGAGAGGAAACATCAAGGTGATAACAATCTTCAGGCATCCTCTTGATGCTCGTAAATGAACAATGTGCTCTCTATCCTGTTCAAAAACCAAGATGATCTTGATAAATGACATTTTGGATAGAAGTTCAAGCATGAAAAGCTTTAGGATATTACTTTTATCCAGGACAGAAGCCATACCAGCTCCTCTTCCCAGGCTGGTGTAGATCAAGGTTTCCCAGTCTGCAGGGGATATGAACACCCTCTACCAAGCCTCTGAACCCAGAAGCAGGCACCTCTCTGTTAGCTCCCAGAACCCTGGCCAAAGCTCTCCTCCCCCTGGTTATGTACCTGAGTGGCAATAGCACATTGCCTGGCTGGGATCCTGTACCAGCATGAACATTGAGGGTGAGTTCATGCCAGAGACCAGCCAGCAGTGCATGCTGGATCCCCTGAGAAGTGCTGAAAATTCCTTGTCAGGAGGCTGTCAATCCTTGGCCAGGTCAGCAGACAGACCGTCTTTCCAGAAATCGCATATATCCTGGGACCAAAGCTTTCAAGACAAAAGACAAGAATATTCAGATCAGGGAGTTGGAGGAAGGGGTCAACAGTGAACCTATCCCTGCTGCTACCACGTGTCTGTGCACCACAAAGACCACGATGATGGCAGAAGAACATTTCCTCGAGTATGGCAACATCAAGGCAACCTATTCACTCTGGTGCCCTTTAGCCGGTCCTTGAGCACAAATGAGAACATGGGTCGAGCTGGACAATCCCTGGACCCTCAGCGAGCACCTATGGAGTGCAGACGGATACAACGCCCTCCCTGCAGGAGAGGAATGTGCCAGCCAGACTCCCAGTGCCCCCATCACTTGGTGCCACTGGGGGAAGCTCCTGGGTCAGAGTGCTTTCGGCAGGGTCAACTTGTGTTATGACATGGATATGGGCCCTGAACTTGCTTCCAAGCAGGTTGTTTGACCCGGATAGTCCCGACACAAGCAAGGAAGTGAATGCTCTGGAGTGTGAGATACAGTTGCTGAAGAACTTGCAACACAGCTCATTGTCTGCAGGGCCGTGCTGAGAAGATCCTGACCGCCTTCATGGTGTACATGCCAGGGGGCTCTGTCAAAGACCAACTGAAGACCCGTGGAGTTCTGCTGGAGAGTGTGACCCGTAAGTATACCCGGCAGATCCTGGAGGGCATAGCAACAGGATTGTGTATCGAGACGTCAAGGGAGCCAGTATCCTCTGAGAGTCAGCTGGGAATGTGAAGCTTGAGGACTTGAGGGGCAGCAAATGCCTACAGACCACCTGCATGGCAGGGACAGGCATGTGCTGTCACTGGCTCACCCTACTGAATGAGACCCGAAGTCAAAAGCCATGAGGGCTGCGGAAGGAGGAAGGCAGATGTATGGTTAAGATGGTAATAGAATCCACCTCGGGCAGAGTGTGAAGCCATGGTTGCTATTTTTGAGATTGCCACCCAGCCCACCAGTCCTCAGGTGCTCTCTCATATCACTGAACATCACTGAACATGGCAGGGACTTCCTGAGCCCCCCCCCCCGCCTTTTTTTTTTGAGACAGGTCTCCCTGTAGTCCCAGCTGTCCTGGAACTCACTATGTAGACCAGGCTGGCCTTGAACTCACAGAGATCGACCTGCCTCTGCCTCCAGAGTGCTGGGATTAAAGGCGTGCGCCACCATGCCTGGCTCCTGAGGCCCATTTCTGTGGAGGCTCCTCAGAGGCCTTCAGCTGAGGAGCTGCTCACACATCACTTTGCACAGCTCCTGTACTGTGCTCTTGAGGCCATGCTGCTGCCAGCCGCCACCTCTGAGCAGGCAAGGAGCGACTGTCCGGCTCAGGGAAGTTGCTCCTGCTTCCATGCAAGGCTGTGGACAGTGGAGCTGCAGTCCAGCCAGTGTTTGTGGCCCTTCTGTCACTGAGACCCAAAGCCAGTATGGGATGGCTGTAGTCTCAAGACTGGGAGTGCCCAGCCTGTCAGACCTGAGTTCCAGCATCTAAAGCTCAGTGTGGAAGGCAAGGGGTTGAGAACAGTATACTAGCAGCCGTGGATCTTGCCCTCAGATGTGCCCTAATACTGCAGTCGGCACTGAAGCCCAGAGGGACTGGAGCACAGGACTGTCTCAAGGGTATGAATAGTGTTATTTCATTCAGAGTGCTATTTTGTTTCCTCCCAATGTCTGGAAACGACCACAGTGTCTCTGGGCTAGATGAGCCCACTCAAGCCTGAGGTAAAGCCCAGTATCCTCCAACCAACAGAAGGTAGAGGCCTTGGCTGCCCTCATCTAGAGCCCCCAGGTGTGCTTTTCCAGTCCTTGTCCTTTACAAAAGATGGACGAAGCAAATGTCATGCTGCCTTACTCTGGGAAAGAGCCTCCCTCCACCTCCCATAGGGCCCCCTGATACAGAGCTGCCTCCACGGAGGGGAAGACCCAGTCTTGCCAATGCAATTATTTGTCTTACAAGTTGGAGTCACTCTTATGCTGTTCCAGTTTCTAAAGTGGAGACTGCCCTCTGGGCTCTGAGGACCCATGTGGGCTTGAGCATTGGGCTGAGATGCAAAGAGCTGCTGGGATGGCCTCTGTACTGTTGGCCTGGCATCTGTTCCCCACTGCAGCAGAAAGAAAGGTAGAGAGCATAATAAGGGCACCTGGCTCTGGTCCCATTTGGGCAGTTCAGGAGAGCACAGGACATTGTCTCAGGCTGTCTGAGTCGACTCCATCTGGTAGAGGACAGTCATGTGCTGCCACCATCCATGTCCAAAAACACCAACTGTTCCTTAGCCTGTCTTGCCCAGTTCTGTGTTCTCAGCCTCATTCCCTTGCTCCTCGCCTGAGGAAGGATGCCTGAGGGGTTGGGGAAACAGCTTAGAGTTGGCCATATTTACCTGAGCCTGGGTGCTGGTCCTTTCTTCTGACCCCTGCCCTCCCCTTAAAAATGTGCCTGTTGCTAGAGCTCCTCCATTCCAGCTCTGTTTCCTTGGGAGTTGTCATTAAAGGAAAACCCAAAACATGAATAGCCAGTGCCCAGGGATGGTGTCTCAGGGAGCTAGGGATTAGTGCGAGGTAGCTGACTGCCAGCCTTGGCCACTACCCCATGGGACCAGAACAAGCCAAAGCCTTCATTGTAGGCTGACGATGCACTTTTATGAATGTACATGCTATTGCTGTTTTTAACCTTTTCACATCATGCAATGTGAGGCCTTAGTTTATATTATATTTATATTTATGTTAGTTTATATCTCAGATCCATATGTGATGATTATTATATGTGTCAACTATAGACTGTTATGGTGATGGACTCCTGAAGAGAGACCAGAAATTGAAAGAAAGGAAAAAAAAATTAATGAACACAGAGCTTGGCCCTGAAGAATCAGCTCCTAGGTTCCATCCAGCCAGTTGCATAGTATACAACCCATAAGAGGAAATTTGTTAGAGGGTCCTCTGTAGAGGCGGGTGATAGATCATCTCTCTTTCCTGGAAGGCTGAGGAAATGAGGTGAAGCAGGCTGATCATCACCATGGCTGACCTTTTCTCCACAGGAAGGCCTGCTGCTGAGTCCAATCTCAAGCCCGTCACCCAGATCTCCATCCAGAATCCTACTCTGGACTGCTAACCCTGCAGACACTAGCCAGTAGCCATATCCTTTAGGCTCACCAGTCCTTCCTTGTTCATCTAAGAGTCCACCTGCATCAAAAAACTTAGATATCACAAGTGTGATGGCATCCTTCTTTAATCTTGGTGATAGGGAGACAGAGGCAGGTGGATCTCAGGGAGTTCCAGGCTAGCCTGGTTTACAGAGCACGTTCCAGGCCAGCTTGGGAAAGAGACCCTGACTTAACAAAAGAAAAAAAACCAAACTATAACAACAAAACCAAACAACCAAAAATGTAAAAACAAGGGGTCTGGAGAGATGTCTCAGCAGTTAAGAGCACTGGCTGGTCTTGGGGAGGATTTGGGTTTGATTCCCAGCACCCACATGGTAGCTAACAACCATCTGTAACACTGGTCAAGGGGATATGGCATCCTCTACTGAGCTACATGGATATTATATGACAGAAGTTCATTTACAGACATGCAATATACTCAGACACGCGATTTTTTTTTTTTTTTTTAAAGTCTAGAGAGATGGCTCAGTGAATGCTCTTGTAGAGGACTAGGGTTCAGTTCTCAACACCCACATGGTAGCTAACAACCATCCTTAACTCAAGTTCCAGGCAGGGGATCTAATGCCCTCTTCTGGTCTCCATGGGCAATGCATGAGAGGTGTACTTACATACATGGAGGCAGAACACTCACACAAATGAAAACACATAAAAATTGTCCCAGCATCTGGGAGGCAGAGGCAGGCAGATCTTGAGAAAAAACGTAGATTCTCCTTCCGAAATATACGCCCAGGCTTTGTGCTGGTTCAGGCCTGCACTGGCAGCCCTTTAGTTATAAAGCTGAGATCCTTTCCCAGAAGTCCTGATGTGAGTGTGGAAGCTGCCCGGGTGACTCTTCTCAGAGTCTCAGGATCCCCACAGCCCAAAACCCATCTAATCTCCCTTAAACTTGCTCCCTGCACAACCTTCCCTCCCTCCATCCCTCCATGTGAAAACATGATCAGAACAAAAACACTTGAATGGCCCCTTCTCTTCTAAGCTCATTCACGGGCCTACATGTAGCTCAGGCTGTCCTGTCCAGCTTTAAAGTCCACTTCATATCTGAACACTTCTCTCCAGCTTTGTGGTCAGCTCTATGCTCCACACCCACCAGCCTCCTGCCTTAGTATACCGGGTTTAAGGACTCTCAGGGCGCCTTGTTTCTACCCCCGTGACCCTCCCACTTCTGGCCTTGAGGCTTGGAAAACTAAGAAATCGGTCGACTCTCTCTCTCCTCGGTTCCAATCTTCCACCAGCGCCTTCCTAAATAAAGCTCAGCCTCCTCGGGAGCGTTGAGCCCTTCCCCTCTCCCCAAGCCTTTGGAGGTCGCAGCCCAGCACACCCTGGAAATCAGCGGGCATCACACACTTCCACACCCTAATCCTACCTGCTTCCCCCTCCCTGATTTCTCCCCTAAACATCCCCCCTTCCACACCCTAAAGCCCCCATATGTAAAGTCCCAGCTCACAACCGGTGAGCTGACATCTTTCCCTTCCCTGAGGGAAAGGTGCCCCGTGCGAAATAAATCTGTGTCCCGCTGAGAATTCCATCTGAGCCTCGGTGCTTTCCTCCATCCGTGCCACCCGCTCGCTCCCGCCCGTTCTCTACCTATCAGATGGTGCCAAAACCTGGCTCTTACTTCAAGGGACCTCGCACGTAAAACTTTTGGACTCACTTGTCGTTACTGGCCTCTGCGAACACCACTAATTTGGCATTAAGGTACACTTCCACCCTCTATCTCTCTCCCCTCTCCCGTTCCTTTCAGCTCTTCTCTCGCTCTCTCTCCCTCTCTCTCTCCCCCCTTTCCCCTTCAGTATTCTCTGCCAGTTCTCTTTTCATCTTCTTTCCAATCAAATTCGGTCACTCCCGGACCTCACTCACGGCCACTGGACAGCACTGGTTTCTGCAACCGTTGAACTGCCGGGCACAGTTACTGTGTCTGTCCACGCCCACCTGGGAGTCAGACCTGCCTCCCTGTCACACTCAAATCCTTTTCCCTACCTCAGCTCCCTTCCCTTCCTCGCTCCTGCCATCTTTTGCTTTCCCCTCACATCTCATTTTCTCTCTCTCTCTCTCTCTCTCTCTCTCTCTCTCTCTCTCTCTCTCTCTCTCTCTGTAAGCTTACTCCCTCCTGTTCTGACTTCTGACTCCACCTCTGTCCCCTCAGGGCAAAAGTTTCTCTTTGTTCCCCTACCCACCAGCTGAGGTCTTTAACTCTTCTTTCATGTTCTGCCTAATCCCTTGCTATGGGAACCAAACACTCAAAACCTTAGGGTCAGACGCCTTTGGCCTGCTTACTTAAATCCTTAAAAAAGCTAGGAT